GGAAAAGCTCAGCAGATCTGGCAGCATCTGTAGAAAGAAATCAAGTTAATATTTCGGGTCAAGTGACACTTCATCAGAATGCTTCCAGGAAAAGTAGGCAAGCACATGTTGAGGATCCTGCCCAAAGCTTTTACTGTTAGATTTTGCTTGCTGCCTTGCCTCTAGATGTGCCACCAAGGGACTGATAAAATTCCTCCATAATGACACATATCCTCTTCCTGTGTTTTAGACTTCGTTACTAGAATAATTGCACTTATAGACCATGGTTTTGGCTATAAACTACAGGCTAGTTTATGTCAGCAGAGTATGCAATACAGTACAATGCAATTATTTACAATAGGGCTGAGTTGATGGCCTCATTATCACTGGACTGTAAATCCTGAAACCCAAGTCATGTTCTGGGGACATGCATTCAAATCCTGCCACAGCAGATGTTGGAAATTTAATTCAATTACATTTGGAATTAAGAGTCAAAAGATCACCATGAATCCATTGTCTGGAAAAACCCATCTGATTCACTAATGTCCAATTTGGTTTCCCCTTGCCCCCGACTAAAAGATTCCGTAGCCATTTCTACAATTGAAATTAGTATTCCACGCAACTACCAGCAATTGTCTTTGAATGTCCAGTCGTTTTAACAACTGAGGCATTTTAACCTCTTTATTCCACTTTTCAGATGCAGTCTTTTTTTCCCACTTTCATATCTTCTGATGGTCCTTTAGAACTAATATCTCTTCCATCTTTCTTTGTTCACCATGTATTTACTCAGACACTCAACTTGCTTCAATTGCCCTGAAGCCTCCTTGCATCCTCCTCACAACCTCTTAGATTTATGTTATTTAATTTGGTTTAACTTATTTTGAAAGTTTCAGATTATCTAAAGCCGAAAAGGTTCAAACTCAGTTGTATGGAGTCTCAAGGAATAGGTTATAGATTTCTCAGGACCAGGAATTAAAATATCCATTAAGTTAGACCCTACCTATGTGATAGGTAAGGGAATTCTCTCTGGTGTGAGTTCTATAATGGGGTGCTGCTGAACTGAATGGGATTGTATTTTACAGTGTGTTTCAAATTGTTAAACATGTGTTATGCCTAAATAACTTTATTTATTCTGTTTCATCTTATTTGCTTAATGAACATCTATTTTCATGTTGAACAAAATCTGCAGCACTGCATTCTTGTGTTTTAGTGAAAGACTGTGGCATTAAAACCAAAAAAAACACTAAGAAGCTAGATTGCAACTGGGATCTGACTTGTTCAGTAATAGCATCAGCTGGAGTCTTAACCACTGGGGGTGCTCTTAGCAGGATTTGAAAGCACTGGATTTAAAAGGGATCTTTCTCATTCCTTTTAAAGTAATGGGTACATAGTGGTTCTTATAAATGAACTCCACCGTGGTGAAGTTTATTACTTGGAGTTTCCAGAAGTACAAGATATAATATGGATTATTTTAATCTTTTACAGAAGTTGAGCAATTTAGCAAATAAACTGAAGGTAGAAGTAAAAGAAGGACCTTGTAAGGATGAGCTGCTTCATGTGATTATCCAATGTTTAGAATTGGAAGGAAGGAAACCTGAAATTGGGATGTCACAGATGGAATTAGCTAAAATACATATAGAAATGATGAAAAAAAATAATAAAAAGGCTTGAATTAGAGAAGAAAGACAAAGAGATGGAGTTAGAATTAAAAGAACATGAAATGTAAACAGACAAAGAATTTAGAGAATGAGTTGGGCAGACACCATCTGGCAGAAGCAGCGTAACATGGATAAACATGAAATTATACATTTTAGTGTAACAAATAAATGACAGAGTATTAACTAAATATGATAAATTAGGAAATGTGGATACAAAGGGATCTGCATTTCCTTGTACACCAGTTGATGAAATAAACAGGCAGGTGCAGCAAGGAATTAGAAAGGCATATGATATGTTGGTCTTCATTGCAAGAGGATTTGAATTCAGAAGAAGGGGTGCCTTACTGTAGTAATTACAGGGCCGGGGTGAGACCAATACTTGCAGTATTGTGTGCAGCTTTGATCTCTGTATTTAAGAGTGGATACTTGCCATAGAAAGAGTGCAGCAGAGGTTCATTAGAGTGATAGTGGGGATGGGAGGACTCTCATATAAGGAGAGATTGGTCCACCTTGGCCTGTGTTCACTACAGTTCAGAAGAATGAGAGGGGATTTGATCAAACATATAAAATTCTAACAGAGTTGGACTGACCAGGCACAAAGAGAATAATTCCCTTGGTTGGGAAGTTTTGAACTAGGGATCATAGTTTCAGGTCGTGGGGTAGACATTTAAGATTGATAAGACAAGATTTCTTCACTTGGGTTATCACCCTATGGAAATCGCTATGACAGAAGGCTGTGGAGATTGGGTCACTGAGTATATTCAAGGAGGTTAATTCATGGAAGTCATTGGATGTTAATCACATCAAGGAGAATGGAAAGAAAGCAGGAATATAGCTAGAGATGGAGGATCAGCCATGAATTTATTGAATGCAGAGCTCAAACGACCAAATGACCTACTCTTGCTGCTAGTTTCTATGTTTCCTTTACTGAAGTAACCTATTTCTAAATGGTCCTAAGCTATTTCCTTTCATCAGGAGAAACTATTTTACACATCCTCCTTCAACCATGACTTCTGCAAACTCCATACGAAATGGTTCCGTCAAGCAATGAATGTTTCCACTAAGCTAAAAACTTTACAGATTCTTCTAACTGAAGCCTGATGCCAATTGTTGATTCTTTTGACTTATAAAACTCTTCCAATGCAAATAAATTCCCATTAGCCTCAAAGAACTGTCTCCATTGGACATTTTTTTAAAAAGAAATCACTCTGGCTACAAAAATACTTAAAATTGATCATTAAATGCCTTTCCTGGTCAAAGATCAAAATCCAAACTCTTAAACAAATCATATTAAAATATATATAAATCACATTTGGAATAGATTTCTTCACCGAAAGAAACATTACAGGTAGGTATTTTGGACTCAGGCCTCCTGGCTCACAGGTATGCATGCTACTACTGCACCACAAGTGCCCTCAGGAAACATCACAGATGTATTTATCTCTAATTCCATTCCATGTTGTGCCAGTAAATGTCTTTTTATATATGTTTAATTGACCATCCATTCAATGTTTTTGAGCTCTATGTACTTTTTAAACTCAAGTTAACAGCCTCACTTCTCTCTTATATCACAAGTGCATTAATTTAGTCATTGTTTAATAATTATTCCAGGTACCACTGCAACTTCCTAATCCTCCATTCGTCTCTGCTTATCTAATTGACTGTAAAAACATGCATCACCAAGTTGAATCTTGGTCTCCTTTCGCCATCAGGCAATTTATATCTTGGTCAGAGTTCATCTTCACCCCTTCTAAAATTCATTGATAGTGAAGTGAACTCTAAATGTAGCTGCAAAGGATAGCACAATATGTTATAGGACAACTTCAAGTAGGAATGTGCTAACTCTCAATGGGATCATAACAACTTTGTATAAAATTTAAATTTCCAAGATTAGCTGCCTCATAAGCATCTCTGTTGATTGAAGTGATCAAAGCTAGTCTTAACATTTGATAATATACATCAGTGCAAATCTCTTTCATTCTGAGTTATGGTAACCAATCTGAACTTGAATAATCCCGATAGTCATCTGGCACCGTACCTATCTCCCCATTGGCAATGTGGCACTGTACTACAATGTGGCAACTTAACCCTCACACAACTGGCATCCTACTTCTGGCACCCTAAAATCACACCTTGATGTACTTAAAGCAGCTGTCAAAGTGGCTGTCAGGATTTTTAAATTTCAGAATGTGACAGCTGATTGCTGTGAAAAGGAGTTGTTGTCTGCCTTCCTCTGACAGTTCTTCACTATAAAAGAATTATCACAATGGAAGTGTGGCTCCACATTTCTCAGGAAGTCCAGTTCGGAATCGCGTCTCAGAATAGTGGAGCTCCTTTCTTTCACAAACAAGAGTTTGTTTGAACATGAAACATGAAAGCTGGCCCAATATTTCTGCAAATGACCTATTCTAATAAAGCTAAAGTCACCATAGTCTTACCGGGTCACAAAGCTGGCACTGTCATTAGAGAGAGACAACTAGTGGTAGTTTAACCTGAGGATCATTGTGCCTCAGGTGAGAGGAGAAGAGTTCTTCATGGTAACCTCAGCCACTGCAGGAATTGAATCCATTGAACCCAACTATTGGCATCACTCTTGCATCACAAAACCATCTAACCCCTTTTGTTCTACTCACCTCTAAAGAGAGCACAAAATAGTTCTCATGGTTTATCATTTTTTTCATGAACATTTGTACTTACGAAGCTGGAGATGCTAGTAATAAGGATTGGAGTACTTTCAACCTCAGGCATCCAATGTCAACTTCAAAGCAACCCCATATAAAGTAAAGAACGGTAGGATGAAAAACTTTATCCAATCTGCCCCTGCAATTTGATTCTGTCTCGCCTATCCATATTGCAGCAGTGTCATGTTTTCCAGTATCAGGAATGTGTGACCACTAAGCATGAGACAATAAATCAGCATGATTCAGCTTTGTATTGTCGACTCATCCATTGTGGATTGTACTGAGACTGTGTTAACTCACTTGATTGATTTTATTGCTGCAACTCTTTGTGGTTCTATCTCATGAATAATACATAGTTGAAAACCCACAGACGGCATTTGCAGAAATGAAAATAAGTCAAGAGCTACATATACAAAAAAGTAACTTTTATAGAACAGCAACTACGATTTATAAACCATCACAATACTGAAATTTCCCAAGTAGCTTCACAGGAGTGTTTTCAAACAAATTCTGACACTGAGCCACATGAAGAACCTTTGCAATCCCTTTCAATGAGTCATATGATTTGTTTAGGAACCTACAGAAGCCTATTCGGAATTCAGAATCTTCTGAGACTCTATAAGCGGAACAGATTTTCAAAACCTTATCATTTTCAGAAGAATTTGTAATTTCTTTCTTCCAGCTGTCACCGGGTTCTGAGGATGACCATGAGGGAAGCTCACGTGAAAATCTGGGCCGGATTCAATTTAGCGTCGGCTACAATTTCCAGGAGTCTACCTTCACCGTAAAAATAATGAAAGCAGTAGATCTGCCAGCGAAGGACTTCAGTGGCACCAGCGACCCATTTGTTAAAATCTATCTGCTACCTGACAAGAAACACAAACTGGAGACAAAGGTGAAAAGAAAGAATTTAAACCCGCATTGGAATGAGACGTTCCTGTTTGAAGGTGAGGTTGATTAATATTGCTAGAAGTTGATCATTTTCTCAGTTCATTGTCAATTGTTTCACTGTTACTTCATTTGGGTGAGTAATGATGTTGTGGCTGGGAAACTGTGGAATCAATTCTTCTCAAATAACGTGTCTTGCACTAATTTATTCTGGAGAGTGTTTTCCCTCTAGGTTGTTTACAAGTGACTACATCAGACAATTTATGCAACATCTAATTGACACCTGGGAGGTTATAATGTAATAAAATGGTTCAAATCATTTATGCAGAACATAATGAATATGCAGGAAGAGTTGTTGAGTTCAAGAACTGCAAGAGAGAAATGATATACAATTGTTATTTGAATCTCTCAGGGAAATTGCACCTCTCAGAAAGAACAGATAATGTGAAGTTTGATTCATGCAGTGGTTACAGTAATGATGCTGCTAGTGGCCCAGATTGTGAAGTGATAATGAAAGCAAGATGCTAGAAATGTGGCATTTAGAAGAATATGAGAGTATGGGCACAGGAAGCCCATTAATCATTAGTCTGATTTAGTTAAACAGATGAATGGAGCTAGACTTGTATTTGCTGGACAAAAGCATAAAGGGGTCTGTCTGAAGTCTTAAAGATAATGAAGAAAATTTATAAAGTTGATCCAGATAAATTATTCACTGTGGTGAAAAGTTTCAAGTGTGTCAACTTTGGAAAGAAATAGGAATTCAGAAAGGTTGGACAGAAGTTGTTTACAGGATTTTAAAGTTGTGGAGTCTGATGTTCGGGATGAGTGTTGTAACAGGAGTTATAAGCTTGTTGACGAGGCAGTTCTACTTTTCCTTATCAACCTGTTCAGAGATGTCATTACACGTCTCTGGAGCAGGTGGGCCTTAAACCTGGGCCTCCTGATCGAGGGGTAGGAAATCTACCACTGCACTAGTAGTTCTATGATCTTTGCTTTTTAAAAAAAAGGCAACAATTTGGTGAGATTCTTGGTGGGTAGATGATTTTGAGTTAATCAGAAACAGCTCGTTGTCTTAATGGCGATTTTGTTTCCCATGAAAAGAATTCTAAAATGATCCATCAAAAACGCATCATTCTGGCTTTAACAGATAAACTCGAGGGGTTAAAATCTCTCGGGCCTAAGGTTACTTGGCTCAGCTTGATTTGGCTGCCTGACCTTGCCCTATTGTTCAAAGTTAAAATCTGGGCTTAATTTTCTGTTTGTGATCTAAACCTTGGGATTGGAAAATGGGAAAACCATAGTTTCTCATAATATATACGGGATACTGTTGTTTGATACTACAGAACTTAAATATTGTTGAAAAGAGAGATGTCGCTTTTTATCTTGCACTCATCAGGGCAAATACAAGCTTCCCAGCTCTTGGGTAAAGCAAAAACTACAAATTCAATCAAACCTTCTGTCTTCTTTTTGACTTATAAGGATACGTTCAGTATCCTGTTGCTTTCTCCATGACAATGCCTTGATCAATCAGAATTGATTTTCCAACTATTCGGTACCTTTTGCCCCTGTCACACAATTTATTTTGTGATCGTCTTAACTTTTACATTCTTGCATTTATCCAGATAAAAAAACATGAGCAACATCTCTCTCTGTTCAGTAATATACAGGAAACTGAACCTTGTTGGAGCTGAGTGTTATAGTGTCATGGGCCTCCAGGCCTCTCCGGAAATCATGCTTGTTTTTTGTGGGAGTCAATATTGAAGAAATTGGATGGTCAGCAGCAGTGTTACACCAAGGGCTGTCAAATGAATTTCTATTTTGGTTCTAGCATCCAACTTTGAGGAATCTAGTATGGATTTCAGCAGGTGCTGATCGATGCAGAGCTGTTGTTTTATCTCCAGTTAACTTCAGCATGATTTGTAAATATAATGTGTTACTGACACCCAATGGCAAACTATGAATATTGCACTGATATTTAATAGGCCTCAATTATCAGGTACATTTTAGCCCAAGCATAATGCAGTGCAATATTGAACTTTTAATACTCTATCTTAATAATTTCAAACAAATGTGTTAAGCCTTTCTACAGTAAAGTATTCCCACATGGCAAACTGACCACTCAACGAGATATAACACTGATTATTAATAAATTACAAAATACTTGTCCAATTGGTTGTTGCCTCCATCCTCCCCCTTGTCCACACACTGTGATCATTATTGATCTTCCCTTCTTTCCTGTTGATGATATCTGTTGTAAAGATGCAACTACACGTGTGCCAACTACTTATCCAAGTGAGATAACAAGGTGTAGATCTGGATGAACACAGCAGGGCAAGCAGCATCAGAGGAGCAGGAAAGCTGACGTTTTGGGCCTAGACCCTCCTTCAGGAAAAAAAAATCCAAGTGACATTTCTTTGTGTGTAAACCTAGATGATGACTGTTCGCAGACTTTACAGCCAGTCAACGAGTGGGAAATGTGTCTTCTGAGTTTAATCCTGCCATCTCATCTGCAGTCACCTGTACTTTCCAACCGGGAACACAGGATGCAACTGATCAGGAGCAGACCTTTCCTCTCTGTAGACCTCTGCATTTAATGTTCCTATGCCTATTTGGTTCGATATTATCTAAAACTAATGGATTGCATATAATTGGTACTGTACCATATGATTAGTGTATTTGCCCCATAAGTGATGACAACGGAACCATTTTAAGGTGACTTCAGTCACTTATGTGCAGAAACAAACTCTAGAACGAAGCAGACAATTTTTTCTTGCCTGATTGCTGTTTTTGTCCTAAACATCATGCATCACAATAGATAACCGTGATGTAGGGTCTGATATAAGCATAACATACTGTGTGGAGTTTTCCAGCAAGAAATTAATGGGATGCACTTCATAGCATGCTTTTCAATACATGATCTGCATTACATGACAATAAATTGCAGAATATACTGCCAAGTAGCAGTTGCTCGCTAGAAATATGCCCAATGATGTTCAGTCTGGTTTCGTAACCATTCAGATCCAGACTTCATTACAGCTTGGTTCAAACATCAACTAAAGAGATGGATTCCAGAGCTGAAATCAGAGTGGCTGTCCTTGATTTCACGGCATCTTTTGAGCATGTGTGGCATTAAGGAGCCCCAGTAAAATTGAAGTCAGTGGAATCGTGGGAAAAACCTCTCCAATGTATAATTGCTAAATTTGGTGGTAATACAAGGTAGGAAAGTAAGTTTTGAAGATGACATAAGGAGTCCACAAAGGGATATAGATAGGTTAAGGGAGTAGACAAAAATTTGGCAGATAGAATATGTTGTGTAAAAATGCTGGCTTCCAGATTTTTGTGCCTTTGTGCTTCTCTGAATAAAGGTTGGCAAGGTGAACTGATTAATGTTATACTCTAAGTAGCCTCTCACATGGCATTTGGATGAAAACCATTTGAACGTATTTTATTGTATGTTTTTAAATAGCTGGGAGATTGATTTCAAACTTTTTAAAAATATTTTGTCACTTGTATCACGTCCAGGAATAGTGTGGCCTTTTCTGAGCCCCAAATTCATTTCACATTTTAAAAGTTGGATAGTAAAGCTGGAAAAACCCAAGTCACGTGACTTCTTTTTGCAGTTTGGAGACATGAGCCTTTTCTGATCAAAAGGGTACCACTGGATCGAATAGATCATTTAAAACAAAGATGCTGCCTGCATGTCTCAAACAATCAGCAGTTTTGACCAGCAACACAGAATGTGTAACCAACATGCATACCCCACATTATTTGGAGGAAAAAGGTTGAACTTGGGAAAAGCCACTGGGTACAGACAAAATTCATTTCAGAGCTGTTTGCAGTTAGTTTCAACAAAGCCAATGAGCTATCAGTTCAAGCAATACCTAGGGCAGAGAGTAGGAAGCACTTTCAAATAAATAGTGAACAGTGATATCTGAGGAAAATCATAAGGTAATTGGCTTGGGAAGGAGGAGGAGAGGCAGAACTGTGGGAAATAATCAGGAGGATAAATACCCGAGTTTAAAAAAAGTGACAAGGAAATTGTCAATTGCTTGGTTGGTGAATAATTACTGCCAGGGACTGTACAAAGTGCTGAAATTAAGAAGAATGTCATTATTTTAAACAACGGTAATTATATTGCTTAGAATTATTTGGAAGATTCTAACAGAAAGAAACTAAAAAAAACTAGTCATTTCATTATATAGAGATAGTATGAACTGCAGATGCTGGAGAATCTGAGATATACAAGGTGTAGAGCTGGATGAACACAGCAGGCCTGAAGAAGGCCTTCTGAAGAAGGGTCTAGGCCCGAAACGTCAGCCTTCCTGCTCCTCTGATTGGCTGCTTGGCCTGCTGTGTTCATCCAGCTCTACACCTCGTATATCCTAGTAATTTCATTACTTATCTTATTCCTACGTGGTAATGTTTGTTAGATTCTATTTAAATTAGCACTGTAAGTGGTATTGAGAAGGGAGTTAATTTATTTCATAATTAATTAACTATATAATAAATAATTTAATTAGGACACAATGAAGTTGGCAAGGCAGAACAGGTATTGATAAACATGGGATCTTCTGGATGCCACTGTGATCCAGATTAAAAAATACATCTGTAGCAACTATTTGCAACTCGAGTAACCTCTGTGAATATCCTTTTAATGGAAAAGATACACTATTGAAGTAATTGGGTTATTCATTTTATTAAAACTGTTTCACTTCAATGCTAACAGTTGGACAGTCAGGTTTGAGCTGGAGTCTGTACTAGACACTATGACAAATCAGTGACTATAATATGGGAAAGTATGAAATTGTCCATTTTCGCAGGAAGAATAGAAAGAAGCACATCATCTAAATAGTGAGAAATTGCAGAGCTCTAAATGTAGAGGGATCTGGATATTGTAATGCATGAACTGCAAAAGGCTCGCATGCAGGTACAGCAAATAATTATGAAACCTGAAATAATGCTATTGTAAATATAATTGAATACAAAAGTTGAGAGCCTATGCTTCAGTCATCTTGGGCATTGTTGTAATTGCATCATGAGTACGTACACAGCGTCAGTCACTTTATTTAAGGAAGGATGCAAATGCATTGGAAACAGTTCAGAAAAACTTTACTAGACTAACACTGGATGAAACTGTTTGTTTTGTTTCTCTGTCCTTAGGTTTCCCTTATGAAAAGGTGGTTCAGCGAGTGCTGTATCTTCAAGTCCTGGACTATGATCGTTTCAGTCGAAATGATCCTATTGGAGAGGTGTCATTACCTCTAAACAAAGTGGACCTGACACAGACACAGACATTCTGGAAAGAACTAAAGCCATGTAGTGATGGAAGTGTAAGTAATATTCAATTTTCCTTCATAATATTTTGCAGCTTTTGGCACAGATGGCAACTGCAGTCTCAGTAATTTTTGTATTGAAAACTTCAAATATTCAGTAAATATGTTCCTCCTAATAATTTTATTTTTAATAATTAAGGTTGTGTCCTTTAGGCTCAGTTTCTTTGAATACATATCCATTGTAATAATATATTACATTAACACTTAAACATAAAGCCACTTAACTGTTATATTAGGAAAGCTGACCCAAAAACTGTGACAAAGAGGTGGGTTTTAAGGATCATCATCTGGAGAGAGGCAGAGAGGTTTAGGAAGGAATTCCAGAGCGTAAGGCATAGGCAGATGGTCACCAATAGTACAATATTTAAAATTCAAGATGCATAAGGTGTCAAATGTGAAGGAGTGCAGAGTTCTTGAAGGTTTGCAGGGCTTGGGGAATTGATAGGCACGGGGGGAACAAACTTGTTTATTTTGCCTGCACTTTTTCCAGTGCCCCCACACATTGTTATGAAATGGTGATCAGTGGCATACGACCAGGAATTGAGAAAAGCTTGATGTGTTTCACAAGAAAATCTCCTCCCAGTTGCACACAAGTAATGAAAATAACTAGAAACGTGAAGTTTGTGGTATTTTCATACCAAGATATTGTAATTTGATTGCAAAATAGCTGCAAGTGGTTAGGGAATCTGAGATAGTGTCTGGTTTTTGTACATCACTCAAACTAAATTACAGGGCAACTAAATTTTTGGTCATGATCAAATTAATTTAATTGCCTTTAGATAACAAATATTATCAAAAAGGTCAGTCTTGCATTTATACAGTGGATTTCATGGCCTTCAGATGCCTCAAAGTACTTTACTGTCAATGAAGTGCTTTATGAAGCACAATGTAGGAAGTATACTAGCTAATTTTTACACAGCAAGTTCCAACAAACCAGAAATGTGCTTTGGGAGTTGAACCAAAAACCTTGTGTCTTCAAGAGGAAAGTACCACCAACTGAACCAGGTGTGACTTGCCTACATTTCATAGAAGCTCTGGCATGCCCAGCAATGGTGGAGCAAATATGGTTGGAGAATATACTAGAGGCTAGCACAGGTCAAAGAATATTATGAGGTTGAAGGAGATTATAGAAATAGTAACATTAGAACATAGGAAATAGGAGCAGGAGTAGACCATTCAACTCTTCACTTCTACTCCGCTATTCTACAAAATCATGAATTAAATCCTCTTTTGTACCACTTCTTCATACACCTTACCACCCTGATATTTCACAACTCTATCTACTTCTTTAAATACTCCAGTGATTTAGAAAATTGTCAAGTTGAGGATTGCGAGGAAAGTTATCAAAGGATATGGTAAGCAATAGACCAGTTAGAAAGTTGGATGGAGAAAAGGCTGTAAAATTTAATCATGACAAGAGTGAGGTGAAATGCAAGAAGAAAGTATACAGTAAATGGCAAGACCCTTAGGAGCATTGACATAGAGAAGGATCATGGTCTGCAAGTCCGTAGCTTCCAGAAAGTGGCAACAAATGTAGATAAAGTGGCAAAGAAGGCACGTGGCATGGGTTTGCCTTCATCACTCAGAGCATTGAATATAAAAGTTGGTAAGTCATGTTGTAGCTGTGTAGAACTTTAGTTAGTCCACATTTGGAGTACTGTGTGCAGTTCTGCTCTCTGAACTATAAGGATGTGGAGGCTTTGGAGAGATCGTAAAGGATGTTTACCAGGATTTGCCTGGATTGGAGTGTGTTAGCTATAAGGAGAGGTTGGACAAACTTGGATTGTTTTTGCTGGAGCATTGAACGCTGAGGGGTGATCAGATAGAAATATATAAAATTGTGAGAGGCTTGGATTGGGTGAATGTTTGGAGTCTTTTTCACAGGGTGGAAACATCAAATACTAGCGGGCATAGGATTATAGTGAGAGGGAATAAGTTTAAAAAAACGTGCGCAGAATGTTTTTTACACAAAGGGTGTTAGGTGCCTGTAACTTCCTGGAAGCAGAGACAATAAGAGGCACTTACACACCTGAAAAGGCTGGGAACAGAGGGATACAGACCATGCGCAGGATTCAGAGTGAGTTTGCCAATTGGATACAAAATTGGCATTACAGTAGGAGATAAAGGATGGTGGTGAAGGGTTGTTTTTTGGACTGGATGAGAATTCAGGAGGCATGGTTGATCAGTTTGCAGATGACACCAATATTGGTGGTATTTTGGACAATGAAGAAAGTTATCTAAGATTGCAAAGAGATCTCAATCAGTTGGGTTAATGGACTGAGGAGTGGCAGATGGAGTTTAATTTGGATAAATGTGAGGTATTGCATTTTGATAAAACAAACAAAAGCAGAATGTATACAGTGGTAGGGGCTCTGAGTAGTGTTGTAGAATAGAGAGATGTAGGAGTTCAGATATATAATTCTTTGAAATTTGCATATCACAGCTAGACAGGGCGGTTAGAAAGTGTTTAAATGCTGAGACCATTTAGTGTAGGAGTTTGGACGTCACTGTGGATGGCATAGTAGCTCAGTAATTAGCACTGCTGCTTCACAGCGCCAGGGACCCAGGTTCCATTCCAGCCTTAGGTGACTGTGTGGAGTTTGCACATTCTTCCTGTGTCTGTGTGGGTTTCCTTCAGATGCTCTGGTTTCCTCCCTCAGTCAAAAGATGTGCAGGATTGGATGGATTGGCTGTGCTAAATTGCCCATAATGTCCAGGGATGTGCAGGCTAGGTGGATTAGGCTAGGAAGTGCAGTGTTACAGGGATGGGGTGGGTCTGGGTGGGATGCTCTTTGGAGCAGCGGTGTGGACTTGATAGGCCGAGTGGCCTGCTTCCATTCTGTAGGGATTCTATGATCTGTCAGGTTTGTGCATTCTCACTCAACCTATCTATTTCGCTGTCCAGAATACTTATGTCTTCATCACAATATGCCCTCCCATTTATTTTGTATCATAAGAAAATTTGTATGCGTTACACTCTGCCCCCAAGTCATTAATATAGATAATAAATAATTGAGACCGCTTTGTATGCCTTTGTCTTTGATTTGATATTCTCCTTGACAGCCTTTGTTAAGCATGGGATAGGTCGTCCTTGACATCAAGTTCTTCTTTTTAGACAACAAGGTGTAGAGCTGGATGAACACAGCAGGCCAAGCAGCATCAGAGGAGCAGGAA